AGCACCACAAAATCAAGAGTTAGGAATTAGAATGCGAAAATGGTAAAAGAAACAAATCTTGGAGGCCAAAATAAGTGTCCGACCAAGACCAAAAAAAAAAAAAAAAACTAAATGTCTTTGAGTTCTAATTTGGGTATTAGTTTATTGCTCCTTTCAGTCACTCTAAGTGAACAAATCTTAAAAAAGTATCCTATAAAGTATATTTTGGCTGTACATATCGATTCCATATGAGTTTGCAAATCACAAAATCAAGAATTAAGTTAGGGTATCGAAATATCGGACCAATATCGAAATATTTAAAACTTAATTAAGAATAGTCAGACTGTCTTCAAACTAGATTTATACTTGAGTAACAGAATTAGAATTAAAATATAGATGAGATTTATGTACTATATGAGTTGGCAACTGTTTATGCCTAAAAAAACAAGATTAATTAACCCATGATCTCAATTGTCAGGCTGGTTACAACACATAGTACAAAAGAAACGTGTGATCATGAACAGTCCCAGGGGTCTAATCTCCACTCCACCACTAAAACGTGGGTTGAAACCTACGCATTGACAAACAAACAAAAAAAAAACTTATCAACCTCAATTTTAGGATAGTTTTGTTCTGGAAATCCAATACACAAAGCCAAATCCGGCGGCTATGGCTTTTGAATCAATGAAGAGACTATTAAGGCAGTGGCTAGGCACCCTTTTCCTCCCCATTTTATAATTGCAGCTAACTAACCTAGAAACGACTTGTTAGTGCACATAACAGTATTCCCAATCTCTCAAATAATTACCAAATTCAACATATTTTATGATGTGTGTATGTATGCAGTATAAAACCTTGTGGTGGTCGGTCTTGGGAGAGTACTGAAAACTCTGACTGATGATACTTAATTTAATTCTAACTGTTATCAGAGTCTTTGACCAACCAGACAAGAGATTTGGCATAACATTTTGGTATTGAGATTTAATAAAATCATTTTTTTTAAAAAAATTAATTGTTATTTTTTAACAAAAAAAAAAACTGTATTTTATTAAGATCTCACAAATTAATATGTCATCATAAATCTGTCTTGAATCATAATGGTGCAAGACTTCTAGTGACATACAAAGACTAACTTTAGATTATGAGAGTACTCTACAATTACAAAAAAAATTCAACTGCTGTTAACTGTCATCGAATTTCTAATTTCAGCAATTATCCTAAATAAAAAATGCGGTGGCCGTTGACTTCCAACTGCAGACGGGCATACCCAATTATCAAATTTTTTGTGGAAGAATGTCAACGAATTCAGTTATTGTTTTGTTCATTCATTGACTAACACTTGTAGCAATATTACAGGTAATGTTCTCCAAGCTAACTTCTCTCGATTGATTAATTTGTCTAAGTAATGTTTATATGAGCTTCATTTCTTTGTTCATATTAAACTCTAATGAATGTTGTTTTCCATCATATAAATTAGTTGTGATGGCTGTGGCCGGTAATAGGACATATATACATATAAGTAGAAATAGGGACACAAGTTTTTCTAATAAAAGATCCAATTGTTATTAGCACACGTTTTTCTTTTTCCTTTAAAAAGAAAGCTTTCGAACCAAAGTGGCTTTTAAGTTAGGATGAATGTGGAACTCCTGTAGCATATATCAAAAGGAAAAGGACTACCTAGAGCTATAAACCCATGTGTAGAGAATTAATGCCCAATACCTAACTCATGAAGATAATGATTCTCTCACTCGCTGCTCCTCGGCCTCATCCTGAAAAGAAGAAAATTTGATAATAACTTTCGCTTCTTTTAAGTAACCACGCTTTCTTCTTTAATTACCTAATATATATGAACTTGTCACATTTTAAATTTCAATTAATAAGTTTAAAATTAATGAAGCTTATCTCAATTTGTAACATAACGTTATGAAAAACAGTTGTCTATGTTCTTCAATTTAAGAGGCTGACAAGAGTAGTTAATTAAGGACTTAATATAAGCATTTGATAATATTCAAGTTGAACACAGATTAATAATCAAGGAATGACTCTATACTTTGTCAAATTGTTGTAAATGTACACCATGACATTACCAATTTGCACGATAGTTCAATGAACATTTACACTAGAAGCTCAGTAAAATATGTACGAAATTATTAAATTCTTTAAAAGGGTTGAGGCTGCCTGAGGGTAGGAGTAGGATCAAATGCTATAAGAGATTAATTAAGGGTTATGATAATACTATTTAGTTGAGGTGAAGTAAGGTTAGTGTATTAGGGGCTTCCACTGGGTTACCACATGCAAAAGATAGTTCAGTGGAGGGCCACTATTTGAAAAATAAAGGTAACAACAGATAGAGACCGATCATGGGAACTTTTATTAAGGAACACATGGAATTAAATCATTTGGGAGGTCAAACATTTTTTGTCTTTTTTTGCAATAGGATATATGGTTACTAAATTAAGATAAGGTGTAACGGCATTGCAACGCCGGGGGGATGACGGTCCAATATCCAATGGCAACACGGCAGTCCTTTAAGGCTGCCGGCAACCATAATATGCACATACAAATCACATTTTTTACCCCAAAATCCAACGTGCGATTGGACCAAAGCAAGGCGTGTTGAGCTCCGGCCGCAATATTTTACCCGGCCATGAATCAACTATGAAGAATTCGTTACTACGTACCCGCTAACGCCCTGGCAACATCAAATTTTCAACTAAATCAGTAAAGCATGACTTTTGTTATGTTATTAGCAGGTTAAAGAGAAAAACAAGTACTTAAACAAATGTTAAGAACCTTCTGTTTGATTAACAATGAATGTGTTGGTTAAAACAACTCAAGCCATTTTGATTACTATTTTCTAAATTGATGATCTAAACAAAATTTTAACTACATTTATACAAAATTAAGGAAATGGGAGGGGGCACTGCTTTAATTAATCCTTATTAATTGTGGACTGAAGGATAATATGAGTTAAGTGGTGCATATAAGTAGATCCAATTCAATGCTAATTATTAGTCTAAAAAGCTCAAAATATATCAAGAATTAGTATTAGTTATAGGTAGTGATCAGCTTTTCTTTATTTTTCAGAATTTGGATAATAAACTATTGATTAAACCAGCTAACACTTATTTATAAGACGGTCACGACTGCTTATCTAAGACTTATGGACCTAGAACAAAATTAAGGTGATAGTGTTTGTTACTTTACTAGGAATATAGTAGTCCTATAATTAGACATGATTAAGTAGGTAATGAGTATCTCCTAAGTAAGTTTATATCGGTTTCAACTATCTATTTAGGATTTTTTAAGTAGTGATAAAACTGTCGGAGTTTGTTTTATATAAACTATTCCAGTAAAATCAGTGAATAACCACTAAATTTATACTCTTTTTTCATTTTTTTTCATTGAGTTTTAAATTGTTTCTCTTTGATCACTAAATTTTTAGATTGTATCTATTATGATTTCTTTAATAGATTATGTCTAAATAAATGATTAAATGATGACAATATAACCATTTAAGTAGTTAAGTCATTATTTGAATGTTAGTTTTTCATTTTCTTTCATTTTATTAAATATTTTTGTAAATTTTCTATTCTAATAAAACTGGGAAACGAAAATGATAAGAAAAATATGAATTACAAAAGCTAACATGAATTTTTCAAAACTTGATCATTTAATTAGTTATATATATATATATCACGTCATTATTTTTATTTTATTTGGCTGGGTTTTGAAGAAAGCAAAAGAAGAAAAAGGAGTGGGATTATATATATATATATATATATATATATATACGCACACTTTCCTATGTCGTCTTGGAATAGTCATAGTCTCCTAAATGCAACCTATTGGCATTTGAATGGAAAGGTCTCCTGAATTAAGCATCAGATTTTAGGTGGGATGCTGGATCCAGCGTTTGATCAGATGAGTGATCAATTCATTATTTTCTCTTGTTTGGAACGGTAAACGCTTTTACTAAAATATCCTTGACGATTATACACTGTGACTACCTCCCCATTTGGAAATCAACTTGTTAAATCCAGAGAAAAAGTATTCTAGTCCAGTCAAAGATCAAACTGGGCTTCGACACCAGCATTAAGGCCCCATCTGTTATGGGCTGTAACTTAAAACTTCTTATAGTTTATTATACCCATGTGTTCTTTGGATTTATGATATATAATATTAGACTGTGATCCGGTGCGTTGCACACGGACCTCTTTGACTTCCCTTTTTACGTCTTCGATATGTTTTTTTTTTTTTTTATAACTTTTACGTTATAAAAGAAAAAGCCCTTTTGAGCCTTTTTTTTACTTATATAATAAATAAACTTCAGAAAATTTGAACAAAATAAATTTCACTAGTAATTGACAAAGCATGTGAACTTTTTTTTTCTTTAACTGATGATGTCTATTTTAAGCCATCTATCCTATATATTTTCCTTCTTTATTTTTATTTTTTTCTACAAACATTTTCTTTACAAAATTAATGTTTTGAAATATATTTTGAAAAATTAGTAAAAAAATTTATACTTTGGCAAAAAAAAATCAAATAATTTATAACATTTAAAAATTAAAATACTAGATTATGAATCTGCAAACGAAAATGCGAGAGCAATGCACTGATTTAATTGAAAAAATTTTACATGTAAATTTGATTTTTGATGATCATTAAAAAGAAAATATCGAAATATCAAATTAAAAAAACCCATTTTCACTCTCCTATTTGCGACCTTAACCAATTAATTGTTGATTAGATTAGAGTTATAACTTATACTTAGTTAAGAAGAAATCCACTGCATCCATAGACAATGGAAGAAGCGAGCACAACCCACTAATCGAAACTCACGTAAAAGGGCCTAACAACAGGAGAAAGGTTGAGCCTCTGACAATGAGGATTTCCAGAACTCCCACTTCAAAATCCGGGCTTTTGTCGATCAGCTTCGAGCCCTTTTATGCAGGTATAATACGTACATCATCTTTTGCTGTTCAACGGACTTTCTTTCCTTTTTTTTTAATGGCCAATAACCGACTTTCTTGTTGAATTTGGTTTTTTCTTTCTTATATTTTGAGTTTTTGTGCAAGCGTTTGTTGGTTTCTTGTTGAACTTCTATGATAGTTTTAAGTGCTATCAGTGGATTTTCAAAGTGGTTTTGTTTTCTTTTATGGGTGTAATTGTTTAGATTCCTCTTGTAGAGCAAGCTATTTTTCCATGGAGAAAATCAGTGATTTTTAGGAGCTTTGTTTGATTGTTAGCAAATGTTACAGATAAGACGAAACCATGCAGTCCAGGGTGCCTCTTGAAGAGTCAATTCATGCTTGTTTTAGATAGAAAATACTACAGGACCATGAATGATAATGTGGTCCAGGCTTCAGGCATATTCCTAATAAGTCATAATCATGAGAGCTTTTTAAGTTGAGCTAAGTGGGACACATAGTTTCATTTTTCCCAGAGTTGGTCTTATGCAAAATGTTTTGGTGGTCCCTGATAGCCAGGGAGTAATTGTAGATGAAATGGGGTTAATAAGCATTGCTGTTTGTCCATATTTATGACTTGTTCGTAGGAACATACTTTGAAATCCAAACACTTCCATTCCAGGACTCAATTTGGAGAGGCCACCTATCAATTCTTAGTTTAGTTTCAATCCTCACATGATGAGTTTTGATTCATATTTTGATGGAACTCATAAATTTGTTGGAGCATAATGAAGTTTTTTCAAACGCTGAATATTGCCTTAATTGAAACTGATAAGCAGCAGGCACGGTAGAGGCAATCTGCAATGGCAGGCATAATTAAATACATTTTCACCCTTCTCGTGATCCCTTCAATTCAAAGATCCTAATAGGATATACTAATTAGAACAATTTAAAAAAATAATTATAATAAGGTGAAGACAAAGGTTGAATTGTTTATCTCCGTAGTCCAGCCCAAGGATAACTAAGACAGATTATTAGTATTAGTATTGACTGCATTGGATGAGTTGATATCCCTTGCTTTAGTTTTCCAATGTCTTCTTCATTTGAAGCAGACTTCACTGGAGGTTCAACTATCTACATCCACATCTCCTCTTTGTTTTCTCTTAGTTATTGCACCTCTTAATACCTACTTACCTATTACTTGTAGCAGTCTACTCTTTTCTTAGCGGTTATAAGAGCTTGTCATATATTTTCTGTGAAGTGATGATTAAATTGAATATGATTTATTCAAGAGATAAGCACTGATTTGTTTATTCAATTTTCATTTTATGCATACGTTCTTCAGACACCTGACTTCAGGAATTGCAAAGCAGCTCATGAAATTCGAAAAGGTGAGTTCTTTAAGTTATGTTAAATTCAGTATTCTAGTATGGAACTTAAAACGTCATTTTATTTTTCTGTGCAACTTTCTTTAAGGTGTATATTCTTGCATGTGTTTAGTTTTGTAGCCCACATTCCATGAGCTGAACATGAGCTAATTTTGTCAAAAATTTCTGGTAAATTACCTTCCAAGGGTTCTGCTATAGACATTATTTTTTGGCAAGCTAGTTATAATCTAAGGATCTTCACGGCAACTGAAAGCTGACCGGAAAACCTCATTGATATAATCTAAGGATCATGAATTCAAAATTGGAGATCAGTAAGATCACTGATATATTTAGGTTCAACCCTCTCTGATAGTAAGACATGAAAAGCTTAGTGAACTGTTTCCAATGTATTTATTGTAATACATTAAAAATGTCCTTTGCAGACTTGAAGCTTGTTTTGGATTTATACAAAACAGATGGCAGTGGAGACAGACCCACCTGTGAATCTTGTGAAAGAACAGCAAACTTTATCTGGTGAAACTGTTTTTGGAGAGCAAGCTCCTGACAAATTCCTAGAGGGAAAAGAAGCAGAGCTACTTAAAACTGAACATTGTGTAGAAAAATCAACAGATATAAAGCATCCAATGCCTTCTTCTGGCTCAGGGTGGAAGCTCAATGTTAGCCTATTTCGTGGTAGCTATGTTGTGGTTGGAATTTCATCACTTATGGGGGCTGTAAGCCAGTTTACTATGGCCTAACAAAGGAGTCCTGTCGAGTAAGCAGACAAAGTCTCAATTATAGTCTGTGCACCGACACCATTCCTTCCTGACAATAACAAGTCACCTTTGGTGATGTACTGAAAAAATTTTGCAATGAGATGGTAATGTTGGAGTAGCCATGGAAAACAGAGTATGGTTCTATGCCTTGCACATCTTTTGAAATTTTGATTACAACTAGAAGAGGCTACCTATAGTAGTGTCCTGTAGAATCTAAACAGATTGGTTCATTCTGGTTAACTGAGATGAATGTAATTTAATTACTATAGATTTTATTTCAATCAAATGCTTCTGTCTGTCATTTGCCTATCAACTGGTTCCTTTGCAGTTACTCCATTTTCATTACCCATTGTTGCAGCAACGTATGGGTTAACTCTCTTTTATGAACCTTCGAACCTGGTTAGTTACAAGGTTTTGATTTGCCCCTAAATTGCCTTTTTCATTTCACTAGGCTGCCTAGAATTCACATATTTTATAGTTTCTTTTTATTTCAGTGCTCGTTACTCATGTCTCTTCTCACGATAAAATTCCACCAGAATCAGATCTCATTATGGTTAATAGCCAAGGTTTCTTGTCAGACAATGTGATCTTAGGGGGATGACATGGATTAATGAAACTATGAAAAAACAGTGATATTATTTTTCCAGTTGATTCAATCGAAGGCACACACGAACTCATTCTTTGACAATTAAGGCAAAAGTATCATTGTAAGAACCCTAGTGCTATTATAAACACTTGGAATCCCTATGCCATCAAACGGAACTACAAAATTGATAAGACTGGTAAATATGGTCTAAAAGCACATCCCTCCGATACTCAAGAAAATGGCACCAGCACTTGCTTCAGAAGTCATGGAAAAGCATGATAGCATCGTCAAGTTTCATCTGTGATGACTCCAAGAGTAACCTAACTTTTCTTAGTCGGTTAACACGCTTATCTTGAGGGAGATTCAAAAGCTGAAAAATTCACCACAGTACACTTTTAGTATAAGAACACAGAAATTTTTTGGTGGTAATTACACCCCCAACAATGTGAAAGACTGCAAGGCAATTGTGAGACACTTCCAACAGTAAGAATATGTTAAAGAAAGAAGGTATAATGATATGTTTTCTGCAAAGCATGACACCCAAGAAGATTAGTTGTGCATAACAAACCTCCTTTTCTTGTTCCAACTCATGAGCCACTCGTAGGCTCAAATTTAAGGCAGCATGGAACATCTCATCTAGTACATGCTCCCAGAGAGTGTTCTTATTCACTTTCCACAGCAGGAACTGTGATTGTCTAGCTCCTGTTAGTTGTAATTTCTGCAGTGAGAAATAAGCATTGTCATGAAAATGAATTTGGACTGTATAAACCATTCATCCACTCAATATGGCAAAAGCACATGGCAAACTGCTTTTTCTTTTATTCTTTTTTTCTTTTTCCAGGCTGAATAGCACGTACCAAACTGCCTAACCAATTGATAATGTAAAAGCCACTTCACTTCCACAATGAGCCATGTAATTTCTTCATCACTGAAACATAATACATATACCATACACATAGCCCTAGGTAAACACCAAATCTGTTAAAACCATAGCATCAATCCTATTAGTATTTAGATATCTGACTACCTTGCAAATAAAGGCTGTTTTCCAATTGAACTTTAGGAGATGAGTTCTAATTCATTTAGTTTTGAAGTTTAGGAATTTTAAGCCAGTTTTAAATTCTGATCAAAGCCTGTCACACTTGAAATTGATTTCAATAAATTGACCTTTTCGATTAGTTTTAGATTTCAGAAAAAGAACTTTATATCATATTTATTTATTCCAGACAACAACTTAATTTAAACGAATCCAATATAATAGCTTTAAAGCATTGTGGTAACAATTAAGAGGTGTCAGACAACATACATATTATTACATTATGGTCAGTCATGGGACACACAAAGAAGTGGTTTGTACCTCCATATGCAAATAATCATCTTTCCACAGCTTATAAAGAATTTTTGGTGTGTCCTTCTTTTCAACAAATGCAGTATCTGCAATCTACAGAAAATATAAGAAAACAAATTCCAGTACAGTAATAAGATTCCAAAAACATTCTTAAAACCACCTAATATATATCTCAAATAGCAATAGCAGAAGTCTAAATTGTTCTCTTCATGAGTGTTAGAGAATTCTTACCTTATCAGTCTCAAGTAAGCGACCAGTGTTTGATAGTAACCGAAACATTCTATATGCATCCCTTCCATATCTTTTCAACACAATAGATTCCACCTGCAATATATGATAAGTTACCGGCCATATATCTAGCTTAATGGAGCATGGGCAACTCAAAATATTTTACAACAACACTTAAACAAGAAAGACCTCATCATTCTGAGCTAGTTCAATTATTTTCTTGAAATCTGTACAAGAAACAACAATGTGTAACCAGGTATACAAAACAAATTAATCAGCCAAAACAAAGATTGAGTGAGAAAAAAGGCATACGAACCAATACTGTACAACTCATTGACTGCTTTTACAAAGGGTGGACAACTCAACTGAACAAGGGAGGCTCTCACACGATCAAAAGTTATATTACGACCTTCTTCACTCTTTATCACCTCTTCATAAATGGAATTGAGTGACAAGGGACCTGTAAAACAGAGTTTTATCAACAACACAAGCAATAATCAACAAAGTTGCAAGAGCCAAAGGCATAAACCCTTTTTCTCTCTTTGCTAAAACTTTGTAGCTTCTTTTGCCAAAACAGAACTCCCTGGCTTCTTAAATTTGCAAGGCCAGCATAATTAAGGGAAAGTTTCCCGAAGTGGCTTCACTGTAGCCTGCATTGTTAAGTCAATATAGTTGAAGCATCTCACACCTCCTCTTTCTTAAAAGTTTTTCACATATTAAGGAAGAAAAATTCAAAAACACTAAGCTAGCATATTACTTTTTTAGAGGAAAAAAACCTAGGGGTGTAATCGCAAGTTATAATTTCTATAAATGGCAGAAAAAGTCCAATTATTTGCATTGATACTGTACAAGTCTATAAGATCCATGCATTACAGAAATTGAAAAATATATCAAAATATGATTTGGGCAGTAAATAAATACATAATTGTAGGTGTTCACAGATAATTAGCAACAGTCAAAAATTAGCCAACCTGAATTCTCTGTTTTAACTTTCTTCTCTGCAGTTCTAGTTGCTTCCAGCATCGCACTTATGACGATAACAGCTCCATCATCCAGACATGCCCTCACATTCTCGATGAAAGCCTAGAAATTTACGGAAGTTCACATTCATTCAGTAACAATGGATAGGAGCATATTCAAAAGCTACAGAGCAATGAAGTATGAGCAAGGTTTCATCTTGCATCTAAACACATTAGCTAATCACTGTAATTGGTAGAGAAATACTTAATGCCTATAGAATAATTAAAGAAATAGAGAGGGAAACAGAATAATTGAAGGGACGGTTCCATGAACCCTTTAAGTTTAGATAGTTTCTTCTTCAGCAACTTGAGCTCTCTATGGAGCCCATAAAAAGATAAAAAAAAATAATAATAAAAAGAAGAAGAAGAAGAAGAAAGAAAGAAAGAAAGAAAAAAATAAAAGAAAAAAGAAATGGCATGCTAATTTAATGATTTAGAGAGATTAATGAGATATAAAAAAATCAGGTGATCTATATGTGAGAGTTCAGTGAAATTTTGTGACCATGTTGTCAGTGGTTTTTATAAGGGGACACAAGCATGCTACATCTATAAAAGATTTTCCCCGAAAGAGTTTTAACTTGTAAGGCTGTAAGAGATTAGAAAGGGAAAAAGTATGCTAAATGAAGCAAGGTAACATGAAAAATTACTGCAATCAAATGAAATTCATGTAAGGCTAAAATGCCACAGCTTCCCAACAGCATAATTCTCCGGAGAAAGGCAATACAGCCAGAATATCTTTCATGAACATGCATGAAATGCATTACATAGCAAACTTTGGCTAATTCCTAACATCACCACTTCACAAGTCATGTTACGATTACACATGATTAGCATGGAGCATATTATTCCTCAACTGATTAATAAAATGCTTTTGTTTCTACTTTCTTTATGATGTATTCAAACTATAATTCAGATGATAAATCATAAGGCAAAACCAACCTTATGCCTAAGACGACGTATATATTCCTCAAAGTTAGCACGCCAAAGAACTACTTGTTCATCTGTAGCCCCACCTTCTGTGTCTGACTCTAAAGCATCAAGCTTGCGCTATAAAGATGAGAAAATGCAAATTAGCATATGAATGAACCTAGTCACTTCAAATAACATGTCTTATGCCAACCTTCTCGCCAACTGTCATGCTAGAGGAATTGTTCTCATCCTTCCCTCCATCAGCACCAGGTTCAGTTTGTGTTACAAGCAAAAATCTTAATGCTTCAGAAGGTGCGGCAGCTTCCAAAACACGTTGCTCTAACGTTTCTTTTTCTTCAAGTATCTGAAAGAATACATTGAAGAAAGTTCTAATGGAATCATATTTAGTCAGAATAAAATTTAGATGGTGCAACTTGATATCAAGAGGTAATATAAAGTGATTAGTCATCAATGACTATGGTAGTCTACTTTAATTAAAAGACTCCATTTAGACTAATTTATGCCTGCCTAGTTAATGTGACAACAGCTCTCTACAGACAATTGTGGACACAACAGACAATTTACTCAGAAATCAGCAGAACCATACTCATTGAAAATTCAATTAAGGATGCGTTACATCAGCATATAGGAACCAAAACACTTTAGGAAGACAGAAACAAGACAATGAATTATTATGAATTACTACTGTTAGTTAAGTATGTTTCAATGGCAGTCCTCAAGGATAGAACGGTGCTGCAATAAACTTTGGCTCCAATATTAATCCTTGTAGTGATATTTCTACAACCAGATAAAACCACATGCTAATCTAGGTTTTGCACAAAAGAAATCACCAACTAATCTGACATGAATCAACAAATACCTTGGCAGACTTAGGACCTCGCTTCCTTGTGGAAGTTTCTGCTTCAGTTGGTTTTGTCAGAACAGGCTCAGCAGCAGGGCATCGTTCAACAAAATGAGCATTCAGTAACTTAATAAAGGCTTCTCGTACAGCATCTAAAATTGCATCATCTCCTGGAATATGTTTAGTATTTATTAAATGGACATGAATTATTTCACTTATGGGTATATCACTTTTCTCAGATGCACAATCTAATCATATTCCTAGTTTCTTTCAACATTTGCCTCTATTCAAGAAAGAAAAAGACCAAAAGCGAATTATGAAAGACTTGCCTTCATTTTGAGCTGATTTTGCTCGATCAGACATTTGCTTGAGGGTAAGCCTTCCATGCAAAAGCAAAGCCTCGATAAGTGCAACACACTACAAAAACCACAATAC